GGGGGAGGATTATATTATCCGTGCACGTAAGAAAATACGACTTACAAGAAGACGGGAGTGTTGGGCCTTCGTTTTATACTAAAATCGGAGTATGAAAACAACCCTGAATATGTCTCATTCCAATGTGTGCAAATCTCCATATTATAGGAATTGCTTGACAAAGTTTTCCCACTTCTGCATAAGCAGAATACCAACATAAGGCCATGCATCCCCTTATATCATAAACTTTCACTATACTTTTATGAGCCTATATATCCTATACCTGATGTGAAAAATAAAAATTTTAAACGAGTTTTTTTCTTATGTACTATGCCTGTGATGCATTCTAGATAAAAAAATAAATTTCATTTGTTTAGTTCGGATAAAAATTATATTCTTGTATCCAGTGGAATATAGCTCGTGGAATAAATATGGTATTCAATGGGGGTATTCGATGGGCGGATCCAAAGACTGACATTTCACGCATGCGCATTTTACGTCAATGACGCTGAAGATGGCGTCTGCTAGGTTTGCCTCTGTCGACGTTGAAGAAATAATTAAAAGCGAACGAAACAAAAACAAAGAAAAAAAAGACTAAACTCGATACTCAACTCTTTCGAGACTTTCTCGCATCTAAATTTGTAGTATTGGTAGAAGGGAATACCAGATATCGAGAGAAAGAATTATTTATTTACATTTTCATCTTAGTTGACCGGATAAATAGGTTATCCAATGGCAAACTCGTGAAAATATCACAAGCTCTCCTGGCATAAAAACCATATCCATTCGTAGCCATAGGATAACCTCGATATATTTACTTGGAAAAAATTCAATTATGTCATTTTAGTAACTGAACTTGGGATGGTGCCTAGTTTCTACGACATTGATGCTGGCACCGCCGTAAAATATACTTGAGTACAGTGCTAGTTAATAAATAATTTTGCAAAAGTAAACTCACAACTCGCTCAATCAATCTATCATGCGTTCTTGACCATACCTGTACCGGGCAACAAGTTGCAGTCAATAGAATTGGGCGAAACCATCACACCGAAAGATGCCCAGTTTAGAGGGATTTCACTGTTTTATTATTAGCTATATTTAATTTAATACTTTTTTATTTACAGTTAGTTTATCTTTGTATTAGGAGACGGGTTATATAGGCGAAAGCCTGTTTCCCAATCCTTTTCATATGTATATGTGAATAATGTTTACAAATGAAAACAATACTATATTTAAATTAAGCAATAAATCAATTCATAATAATCTGTTGTTCAAACCAAATTTCCAAGAGGTTAAATGGACTCGAGATGTTAAGTGACTCAAAGAAAGAAAACCAAGAACAGATGTATTTATTTTTTGCAGATAAGTTAATGATTTTATTTGAAAATTCGACGAGCCGAGAGAAAATTGCCGTAAATTCGGCAGTTAGCTTATTAAAGTCACTTTTTAATGGTACATAATATGTTTAGGTTTGAATTTGCATTTAAGCAGGAGCTGTAAAGGAAGGGAAGGTAGTGATTCGCAATTTAACTACTATCGAGATATCCGCGACCAGTGCGCGAGCGCCATCGGACATCTGGAACTGGCTGGATATGTCAAAATGTCACACCGGCATCCACGGCAATAACGGCCTGTCGCGTTAGCCAATCCAGTCTCACTGCGGTGTCTCGCGTTCATCCTGTTTTCCCCATGGTGGCCTGAAAGAGCCAAGTTTCAAAACAATGTCGAACTGGATGCAACATCAATACATACTTACCGCTGGAGTTGGAATAGCTCGAACCATAGTATATGTTGATGTACCACATTCACCTTGAACATGGCAGGCAGGCTCCGATAGATTAGTAGAAAAATAAGAATAAGTAGTACCAACATTAACAAACTCTACCCAATTTAAAACATCATCCACCTTACAATATAATAATATATCATGATCCAAGTCTGAAATAAAAGTTCCAAAAAATCCGATTAAAACTGTAAACTGTATTCTAATTTGATGCCTTGTGGCCAGCTATTCAAACATTGTTCATTACAATCATATCAAAATGTAGTTCAAATGCGATATCGGAACACAATCAATTACTGTCTCGTAAAGATTGGATAGTTAAGAAAGCATTAAGAAGAAAACTTGCAGAAATAACTCAAAACTCAAATCATGGGGCTTTGTAGTCTCGTATAAGAATTTTGGACAACTATAATCAGTCGGGATATGATAAAATCATGAAAAAGTAAGAATGCATAGGTGGGAGGGGGTAATGCAATTGATCGAAGAACCAGAAAGGGGTAATAGAAAGGTTAAGGTTGAAAACTTACCAGGATATTTTAAGATGTATAAAGCATTAATCCGATTTGGTGTATCACATTTCTCAGCTTGGAAAATAGCATTGCATCTCGATATAGCTAGAGAACGAAAGCAAATTTGTTGTCTGATCACATTTTCTGACTCATACTGGTATAGACATGATTTTCAAACGAGTCTCAGACTCACATGAGTTGATATTATATTTATTACTTGATTCTCAATCTTTGTTCTCCTGTCAGTGATGCAGGTAAGAGGGGCTGACATGTTAACATGTCTATTATAGTCGTTCGGATGGGACAATAAACCGAGGCCCTGTGTGCTACCGACTGCACGTTGAAGATCCCTCGACAGTTGGAAATTGAAAAAGAGGAAGCTAATCTCTGTTGTTATATATTATTGAAAATATTAAACACGATATGATGATGCTAACTGTTGAAATTCCACATATTGTTTATTCTTGTTACTTACGTAGACATGACGGAGATGTCCAAGTTCCGTTGAGTTGACAATTCCACATTGTTACTGGGTAATAACCATCTTGACATTTGTAGGTTAAATTGGTTGACAGCAGCCACAGTTCTTTATCTTGATCATATAAAGGAACGACTTGATCAAAAACTGTATTTGTAGGTTTGAGGCAATCTGTCAAGGTAAAGATCCCGAATATGTAGCTTATTCGTGAAAAAGGAAGGGCAAAATGGAGCATGCCCGATTGCAGACAGGGAAATGACTTTTGGGGCGGTTTTGCTGTAGTTCCCTTTGAGTTACATAGATAGCAAGTGGTTTCCTAGCAAGATACGCCCACTTTCCCGATACATTTTCAGTATATCAAGGGCAGTCACCTATCTGTGTCAAATCATATCATAAAATCTAATTTGTGTAAGATATTGTTGATTTAAACAAACACACATTATTTAATAAAACTCTGACATAAACCGTCACAAATTTTGATGCGTTTTTACTAAGTCATGGGCAATAACTCAAATTCCGTTGATCGAATGATAGCCAAATTCGAACTTGTCCAAGATCTCATCATTATAAATATTCACAACAAATTTCATTGAAGTTGGGTGAAAACTGTAGTCGCTATTGTGTTCACAACCAAATTTTGACGCGTTTTTCATAAGTCAAGGGCAATAACCGTTCATAGAAAGATATCCAAATTCGAACATGTCCAAGATCTCATGAGTATAAATGATCACACCAAATATCATTCAAATCAGATAAGAACTGTTGTCTCTATTGCGTTCACATGCCAATTTTGGATCGACGGACGGACCGGGGACGGACATGGACGACGACAATATACGATCACATTATACTGTATAGAGATAGTGGACCACAGCCATATACGCCCATCACGGCATGCGGATGGTAAATATTCAAGATTTTGGGGCAAGGGCAATAACTCTGCTTCTAACGGTCGAAAATAGCTCAAATTCTAATTTGATCTTCGTTTTACGAATATGTATACACATACCGAATTTCATTTGATTCCATGAAAAAAATCCAGTTTTTAGAGCGTTTACAAGCGAATGTTGACGGACAGACGGACCGACAGACCTTCGTTTCATGAATATGTATGCACATACCAAATTTCATTTGATTCCTTCAAACACTCTAGTTTTTAGAGTGTTTACGAGCAATTGATGTTGATAGAGACACTTACTGTATAGAGGTTAAAGGGCGATAACTCCTCAAAACTGACGTAAGAGGCCTAAATCTTGAAAAAGCCTTAAATTCAATCAGAATTAAACTAAACTTTCTCAAACCTTTCGATCTAGGTCCAATTACATCCATTTTAAGTCTCATCAAAATCGGTTGAAAACTAAGAGAGTAATAGCATATTCAAGATTTTGGGGCAAGGGCAATAACTCGAAAATAGCTCCAATTCGAACTTGATCTTCGTTTTATAAATATGTATACATATTTCATTTGATTCCATCAAAAAATCTAGTTTTTAGAGCGTTTACAAGCAAATGTTGACGGGCGGACGGACAGGGTTGCCGACAATATACGTCCACATAGAGAGATGTGGGCGTATAAAATTGAAAAGACGCTGATTTTGAGAGACTAATAGTCAATTCGAACAATACGGCCTGTATTTATTATTGGAGAGTTTTAGTATTCTATCCGTACATTATTGTACACAATTGCACAAAAACTTTTAATATTCGAAATCGAAAAAGAATCATACACAGTGAGGTAATAAAAGCACTACGTTTGGAATACAATTAGTATGAGGTTAACATTTTGGTAATGGAGGCATTAAATGTCGTCTGTGATAGTCGCCATTTTGAATTCCTGATATTGGCGATTTGATATTGACAATTTTACCTACGTGCACATTATAATGTTTGCGAAGAAAAGAGAGAATCGAAACTTACATTTTCTAGTACAAATGTAGGAAGCGCCACTTTCTTCACAAACATTTACTCTTGAACATGGGCTACTGGCACAGATTCCTGCAATAGTCTGAAATAGATCACATAGTAATATCAAAATAGATGCAAATGATTAATAAAAGTATTAAAACTCATTGTACTTGTGGCTAAGATTCAGACTTGAAGTGTGTTAATAACGGAAGCAGGGAATGATGGAAATATTAAAAAAAAAAGATTTCCTTTAGCATCAAAAATTTTACTACCACTACTCCGAATAAAAGGAACAATTTATATCTTGATTATCTCAATATTAACATTGTAAATACCGATTGAATATTTTTCGGGTTGATTAAGGGGATTTGGCAACCATTTTTTTTTATGTAAACGTTGTAATTGCTGGTGCTTATATATATAGATATTTTATAATGTAATTTCCACATATTCAACCAATTTTCACAAACTTTGGCGATGGTTTCCCATTTTACCATCTCATATCGCAAAGGGCGTATCTGGACTTGGTCCAATATATTTCTTTGAAAGACTGGGATTCCAACAACGTAGCCAACCTTGATAATCTAAACAAGTCTTCGGACTTCATTTAAATCATCTTTTATGAAGAATATATATACTAAACTTACTAATATGAAAATTTCTTTAAAACTTACCGAGTCGTACTGATTTATAGCACTGTAAAATGAATTTTGATTGTTACCAACATAGTTGTTCATGTCGGTCACCATTACGAGTGTACCCAGTTCACAGGTGCTCATTGATTTGTAATTAAATGCCTTGCATAGTGAACGATACAGACATTCGTTTATACAATCCGCTTTACTAATTCCACTAATAGTGTCGACAATTCCCTTTTTCATCTCTGTGTCATTGGCTTGTAAAATGGTTTCTATAACAATAAATATACAATTTAACAATTGAAGCTGTCTAAGCACCCAGAATTGGACTTCAGGGCTGTGTCTACATCAATGCAAATGCCACAGAAAGTAAAATAGTGAAATATTTCTACTGATGTCTACTGTTAAAGGGGGTTACTGAATACAAGTCAACTGCAAGGGTTCTGATATAAGACATGAATGGCTTCAAAAACAACAGGAATTTTGACTTAAAGAAAGAAAGACCCTAGTTACGGCCCTTAACGCCAAATTGGCCAAACCAGAAACAGTATAGCATCAGTTGTCCCGCCAAAATTAAATTGTATCTCATATCATCGTCGGAATTCGATAGTCCGCTCATTTCATCTCACTGGATAAAAGCCGTGGATTGCATTAAGCACATTATTGTTGGCAAGGAAGTCGAATTTGATTGGTTTCTGAAAGAGATCGTGAAGATATTTTGACTAATAAAAAGTATCGTCTCAAAACATTAAATCAATAATTTTTCATTATTGTTTTTATAGAGGAAGTAATCTTAATTGTTTTATGAACTATTATATACTTAGAACTTTTCAAAAATTTCAAATTTACGAGGGAAAATCCTCTTAGACGCATTTTGAGATGCTTGCAACTATAATGCCTCCACAGAGTTAGCGCATTTTGAATTCAGCTTCGACAGTGTCCCTTTCATTTGCATGGAAAAAACAACTATTCCTAACATTTTTGCATTTATTTTTTTCAGCCTTTTGTAAACAATCAGAGCATTAAAAATACATGGCAATTCACTTCACTTAGAAAATTACTTGTATAAACTTGAATGTTTTGTTATCAATATACTTAACACTTTTAAGTGTTTTCGATATGCGTACATGTGAAATAAATTAATTAAATAAACATTTATTTCACATGTACTCAATATCGACCCTTATAAAGTCGGGGAAGAGATTCTTAATGGTTGTGTGCTGCAGTCTATTGACGTTAAATATACCACGTCATTTGGAAAATAAAGATAGCTTGCAATGCAAAGTAATATTCGCCGCCTGGCAGCTTTGATATTGAATAAAGATATTTGTCGGTACAGTAATAATCACCAGTATGAAATATTCAACCTTCAGGCTTCAGTCATACACCTTTTTTGAACTTTTTTGGGGCAATACTGAACAATATTACCATGTTTTGTCAAAATCCCGCATGAATCGTGCCCTTTACTGTTTACGAGCTAAAAATTGAAAGCGTTTTTAAGAATATTGCAATAAGTCATACTAAACATATCTCGAAAAAAAAAAGAAAAAAAAAAGCCAATATACGCATATTTCATGTGGGCGTATAAAAACCAATGTCAAACTTTCCTAAATTAAATGGACAGGCCTTATTTTAGTCGGAAAATTTAGATGCACATATCCACGAAAGTTATCCTTACGCGTAACAAATAAGATTTAGATATACACGTTCATGTGATTACTATATTGATATAAGTTATGTGATTTGGAACAATTTCATGCTCTTTACATTTAATGACTGAATAGTAAAATCAGAATAAATGATAATGTGGTTCAACTTACCGTATATTTCAATACAAGAAAACATGGTGGTCTGTTGTACACATTTTCGTAAATCAGAACAGTCATGAGCTCTACATAAACCAGCTATTTTCTAAAATATAATAATCGATAATTGGTGAATACAATAATATTTTATCAGTGGTAAATATAATAATAATAATAATTCATAAGAGGTAATAATAATGATAATTCAATAATTCATAAATGGTGAATATAATAATAATGATAATTCATTAGTGGTAATGATAATGAATTAGTGATAATAATAATTCATAAGTGATAATGATAATAATTCACAAGTGGTAATAATAATAATAATAATTCATAAGTGATAATAATAATAATTCATAAGTGGTAATAATAAATAATACTAATTCACAAGTGATAATAATAATTCATTAGTTGTAATAATAATTCATTAGAGGTAAATATAATAATAATAATAATTCATAAGAGGTAATAATAGTAATAATTCATAAGTGGCATTAACAATTCATGTGAGGAGATGATAATGATAATACAAAAGAGGTAATAATAGTAATAATTCATAAGGGTAATAATAATAATAATAATTCATTAGTGATAATAATAATAATTCACAAGTGGTAATAATAATTCATTAGTGGTAATAATAATTCATTAGAGGTAAATATAATAATAATAATAAATCATAAAAGCATGGTATCTGTTTAGGACTAATAGAAGTTTTATATGTAGAGAACTAAGCTGGGTACATTTAGATCAATAGAATCTTTCACTTGACAAGCATCAAATTTGATACAGACGTTCCTCGGGACCCACTCTTTCAGAAAAGGTCGCTATCCAGGCTTAAAAAAATGACCGCCAAATTTAATGTGAAACAAGCAGTTTTCCGCTTGTCAAGGAAACAAAACATTTTATTGATGTTTATATTAAAATGTATGTATTCTGACACAATATCATTCCAAAATGGTCGGCAACTTGAATATTTTAGGCCAGAAGTATGATTGTTTGTAATCACTCAAGGGTGAACCCTATAGAAAATCGAAAAATCAAAAAATGTTTAACAGGAGTTATTAACCTTGTTCTTGAAAACGCTTTCAATTTTAAGCTCGAAACACTAAAAGGCACGATTCTTGTCGGATTTTGACAAAACTTAGTATTATTTTTCAGTATCGCCACAAAAAGTTCAAAAGAAGTGTATGACTGAAGGTTGAATATTTCGTAGTTGTTACTGCACTGTCAAATATTTCTATTCGTAATCACAGCTGACAGCAGGTGTCTATTACTTTGCCTGGTAAGCTACATTTTTTTTAGCTTTTCTTTTTAATATAACCACTTCAGTTAGGGTCTAACGACTATTCTCTTAAATATTCTCAAATTTCTGCCATCTCTAGCGCTGGCATGTTGTGAGAGATTTGGTTGGTTAAAGCAGATGTCATCAGATTAGGTCTGTATTACCCACTATAAATGTAATACCCACCATAAATGTAACAAAAATCAACCATAAATGTAATACCCACCATAAATGTAATAGTCATCAACCATGAAAGTAATAACCAACCCCACCATAAATCTAATGATATTTAACCATAATAACCGTTATAACCAAAACCCACCATAAATGTAATACCCCATCAACCATAAATGTATTAAACAACTGTGCAGTAACAAGTAGAGTAATTAAGTCATAATTGATCAGTGGCGGCGATAGCCTCTTGGAACTGGGGTGCAAATAGGGGGCAGACTGATAAATGGGGGGGGGGGGGGGGGGGGGGCAACTGTCAGGGTTGAAATTCCAAATATTGAAGAACCAAAGGCGCAAGACTCTCGTAGGGGGGCTGAGCGGTCCTCCCCCAGAACATTTTTGAGAAATATGATTGATTTGGCGCACTCTGCCACGTATTTTGGAACACAATTGTAAAAGGTATCATTTTTAGAATTCTCTGAAATAAAGTGGGGTTGCAAATGGGGGTACAAATAAGTTTTCTTTGACTCATTCCTTCAAATGTTACTTTTCTTATTTATGTCAAAGAATTTTTAGTAATAAAAGTTAAATTTGTACACTTGTTTCAACATCTTATTCAGGTTATCTTAATACTAGAAACGTTGTCTATTCAGAATGCATTTAGATTGAATCTGATTTTTTTGTCTTATCTTTTTGATTTGGTTTGTCAGATTTCAGCCCAGAAATATTCCCACACTTTTTTTTAATCTGAATGCGCTCTTTTTTTCGTATTGGCACAAGATAAGCATGGCAATATATGGAAGACTCGTGCCTAAAGTGGTTAAAAAGGGCTAATCCTCAGTAAACCATGGAATTTCAAGGTAAAGTCCTCGGCAGAAAATCCATACATCATAGTACTTTTCTAAGTGGTATTCAGTGCTCACATGACAGTTTTTGTGACTTTGCAGTTCAATCAATGCTGACTTAACAGGTGCCGCCGAGCGTCTCCGCAAGTGGAGGGGCCCGTGGTCCGAAAAATCGAACCGACCTCACCTCCACCCTTACCCCCATACCAAAACTCCTCGGATTTCGGCCACTCGATTTTCAGATTCAATACATTATCGTATTAAGATGAGAAAAAAATTGAAATGAAAAAAAAAAAAAATTATTGTCCAGGCCCCCCTCCCCGCTCTGCGGCCTCTGCTTAATTACTCTATTTTTTTAACTGCACCGTTGTTTATTACCTTTATGGTTGATGGGTATTACATTTATGGTGGGTTTTGGTATTTACATTTATGGTTTAATATTATTACATTTATGGTGGGGTTGGTTATTATATTTCGGGGAAGGGAGGGTTTGATTCTCCCAAATGTACAGGCCTAGGGTGGAGCAGACACTTTATTTAGAAATTAGGATTAAGGGTCTTGATATTGCGTTTTCTTCTGTTCTTATTCTGATCTGAAATTAGAAAAAAATAACTCGCCCGATGAGCGAGAAGTATAGTATCTGTTATGTACTGATTGTTTTTAGTTTACTATGAACAATATTATCATTTAAGTTCTTATTTTTTGAATATGCAACTATCATTTTCTGCTTATAGACATGGGGGAATTTCTCTTGAAGGCTCTTATAGTGGGCATGAACTATCTTGCTTGCTCGATTGCTGGTTGTATTAAACGGGACAACAAAGGGTGCTATGCCTACATTATGATGAATATTTAGTCCTATAGGTCTTGCTGTATTCAATGTCTCAATCCAATGGGCCTCCCTAGATTGACGGAATTTGGTAGTTTCATCTTCGGGCAAGTCAATTTCTATACGCTCAATCGGGATTAGGGTGAGATCGTCTATTGAATGGTCGTCGAGGTTGAAATGATTAGAAACAGGCTTGTCTTTCTTTAATTTGATGTCTGACCTATGAGCATTAAAGCGAGTTCGTAAATTATTCTTAGTTTCTCCTACATATTGTTTGGGGCATTTCTTGCGTGAAATTAAATATATTACATTCGAATGTTCACATGTTAGATGTTCCTGGATCGGGTACCTTTTATTCGTAGAGTTGCTTACAAAATAATGAGTTTCTGATATAAAGGGACATGTTTTGCATCTACTGGACAAACATGGAGCACTTCTTAAACCTGGAGGCACTTCGGCATAAAGTCTGTTTTTAGCTGCTATCTGTGCTAAGGTGGAATTTTTTATGTTTCGTAAAAATCGTTTAGAGTACCCACGCTCTTTCAGTTTTGAGGAAACAATCGTACAGGCTTGGTTGAAATCAGAAGATCTTGTACAAATTCGATGAAATCGTAAAACTTGTGACTTAATTATACCAGAAAAGGTATGTTTTGGGTGAAAGGAGCTCTTGTGCAAGAGTTGATGAGTATCAGTTTCTTTGAAATACACTTTAATATCCAGTTTATTTGTTTCTGCTATGGAATCTCCCTTAAAGACTGTGGTATCGAGAAAGTCTATGCTTTTGTCACTCACGTTTGCGGTTAGTTTGATAGAAGGATGGTGGTTGTTGAGAATTTCAAAGAATTCCCAAAACTGTTCGATAGAATAAGTCTAAACCATAAAAATGTCATCCAAAAAGCGTCCGTAAAAAAGTGGGTCAAATGGACAGAGGGGCAACACCTCACGTTCCCACTCTGCCATGAAAAGGTTTGCGTACGAAGGGGCGAATCGTTTGCCCATTGCTGTCCCTGAAGTTTGTAAATATGTTTTACCATTAAATGTGAAATCGTTTCGACTAAGACAAATCTCTAAAAGCTGTAGAATTGCATCGTCGGGTCTGTTTGGATCTAGTGCTATTACATTTATGGGTAATACAAGGTCAAAAGGTTATTTTGACGAATGTTCAAAATGCCAGTCTAACTGGCTATATTAAAAAATAAAATTTAATGAAAAGGTAGTGGACCACAGCCATATACGCCCACCACGGCATGCGGATGGTAAATATTCAAGATTGTGGAGCAAGGGCAATAACGGTCGAAAATATACATATACACATATTGAATATCATTTGAATCCATCAAAAAATATAGTTTTTAGAGCGTTTACAAGCAAATGTTGACGGACGGACGGACAGGGGTGCCGACAATATACGTCCACATAGAGAGATGTGGGCGTATGAAAACGGAATGTTTAATTGTTATTAGACTGGGTGAGACGAGGTTGCGTTAACTGAACTCTGAAGTCACCCATTTGAAAGGGAGGTGGAAAAATCATTAAATGCACTAGATAAATATAAAACCGATAGAATAAAAATGCAGGGGCCGTTCCTACATGAAGGCGAATGAGGCCAATACCCCAGGCTGAATTTGACCAAAGAAAAACAAAAATAAAATAAAAAGAAATTTTGTTTCAAAAATCAAAATTAAAATATGATAGATGTATATAGTAAAGGTTGTTTACTGTTTGAAGTCTACCGAAAGCGTTGTGATGTAAGACAGCATGATTTCACAGAAAAAATACTCTCATTAAAGCCCTGAAATGAAGATGAAAAATTATCTTACTGTCGGCCATGTTGACTTCTCACTATATAAAGTACCTGCTACGGTGTCTAGATTTCCTGTTTGAACTGCTCCGATCAACTCACATGTGTCCGACGAATCTACATAATTAAATGACTGACATCGTGTTCTATAAAGGCACTCTCTGGCACACAAAGCCAGTCCTCCTGGTTTGATACTTTCCAAAATATCCTTACTTAGTCTTTTTCCCTGGACGAGGTTTCCGAATTGAGATGCATCGCACCTGTAGGCACTAGTCAAAGATAGAAAGCACAGTAGAAACAAGCATGGTATCCAAATAAGAGTCATGATTCACTAGAGCTACTTCACTGTTTGAAAACACTATTCTGAAATAGATTGATTCTTAAGTGTAGATAGATATAATGATGCTTATGTTTTAGTCAGAGTGCTTTCGCCATCAATGAGTTTATTCCGTTCCAAAATGTATTGTCTTTCAGTTTCAAGAATATTTTCCGTTATTTTCACTAGACTGTATCCAAAATAAATGTGCCAATAAGATGCTTAGAGAGAAGCTTTGTCATAATAAATCAATATTTCAATATCAATTGTTTTGAAACGAAAATGCGGAGAAAAAAACACAACACATTTATTCTATTTAACCACCGCGTTAAGCAGATACGTCAAAGATGGGGCGTTTTACCCGCTGCGTTGGATGAATTCCACGCGTGCTTAAAACGCAAAGCGATAACATTCAAAATGGCATAAAATACTGAGCGGAAATAACACAGGAGGGGTTGACGGCGTTGAAGGCTCCGTCGTTTTCAGCCCGACGCGGAATGAGAACGACGAAATGCTATTGAAATTTCCAAAGCGTTTTCACGACAACTTGTGCAGCGACAAGTTGACACGAATTCTTTATATGAAGAAATAAAAATTATTCATAAACACCGGAAATTTACAGGTTTTGTCGCCAAGAAAACACAAATAACTAATGACTACTACATTAATTTAATATTCAGTCTTAGAAAAATGTTAAAAAATGAATAACACAATAGAAGATTGAAATGTATTAAAAACTTACTATTAATAAAAACCGTTAAAGGGGAAGTATGCAATATGTTTACATAATCAAATTATACCTGAAAATATGTCTAAAATATGCTATTTATATTTATGTATCTTCTTGATCAAACTAAATTCGTTTTAAAAGGGTTAATTCAAAACGGAGTGCAATTAAACATAATTCTCTACAATTAGGCATTTATTTTTCTAAACTTCGTAGGGTAGTTTTCACTCCTACCTAAAAGCCTAACTAACTTAAAAAGTTAACTTAACCTTTTAAAAATGACCGACGTTAAAAATTAACGGCAGGATTTTTTTAAAATAATAAAACAATTCTTATGGAATACAACTAACTTTTGAGTGACGTGTCAACCAGCGTTATTATAGGCTTATTTTAGTTAAAACTTTCAGACAAAATTCTTTAGATTTTGATGTATAGTTTTCACAAATTCGAGCAAAAAAGAAATTTCGACCTTTGAAAAATCATAATTAAAGACATGTTCTCTGAAATATTCATTTCTTCTCATTTTATGGTTTTCTGTAGTTTTGAAACAATAGCATAGCTAACAAGTTAATTAGTCCAGCTAGCAAGTTAATTAGTCTAGCTGATTAGTATGCTAGTTAACATTATGAACATTATGACATGTAATTGAAATAAATAATAAACTAGAAATGTGAACAGCTCCGAGCATGGCTCGAGACCTTATCCCATTGTTTTTGAACCTTTTGAAATTTCTAGCCTGTTAGCTTTTAAGGCTACAATTATTGAATGAGAAGTTAGAACTTTCGGGTATCTAATAATAATTACACTCCAGAAATGTCACCGCAAAATTCTCAATTTGTAAAGAATATAAAGGAAAAAAGTTACGCATATGGGTGTTAAATTTGTTAACGACATGAGTGGGCTACTGATCGGGAAAAACAAAACGAAAAATATATCATTAATATATTGCAAGTATCTACATTTAATCTACGGTGGCTCAACTACCATAAAGACTGGTTGTACCAAGTCCTCAGGCTACCACAAAATGTAACAAAGTAATACTGTAAACGTTAACGTTAAACGATTTGTGCTTTATCTTTACTATTGCTGATTGCGTTGCTCATATTCCAAAATTGTCTTGACGTTTAGTTTTGATGTAACTCCAGAATGGTTTTATATTGTTTCCATCAAGCCCTTGTTGGATGGTATTATTGATATGGTTAATCTAGGCTTTCTTGAACTCGCGTTTGCAGGATTTCTTGTAGGTATGATAGTATTATTATTATTATATAGTAATTCCAAACCGGAAATGATATAACTTTTCATTTTAGAATTCTATTGCATTCAATACATTTTGTTACAAAGGGCATAAAAAAAGAAAACAACCCCCAAACCAAATTTGTGTACATTATGCAATATGCACTTCTGGTTTAGCAAGATTTTCAAGTAGGATATTCATTTGGCCCATTAAAAACTCTTTGTTCAAAACAAAATACTTTACTATTTTCAGTTTGTGCTAGAGACGATCCTGAAAAAAAATCGATTGCTTAAAAAACCGTAACAAATCGATTTGCCAAGCAATAATAAACGCCATGAAGGAATTTTACTCTGCGTTTTTATAATTTTATTTAAATTTCAGTCATTTTATTTCGTTTATTCATAGTAACTACTCCCTAAAGAAATATTTGTGTATCGATGTCTGTTTTTATCAGGTACGGTTTTCAAGTTTATACATATTTGTTTGTACATGTAATCAAAAACACGGCGGGACTTTTGATGATCTAGTTACTTATTGTTCTGGCATTCAATAATCAGGTACTACATTTGATGTGATAATGTTCCATTAAAATTTAAAGTTAATATTCAGAGTTTAATTTAGATTGAAAAACTTGATTAACAATGAGACACATAAAATTTCAGTTTTAGCTTATCAAATTTTGATTCGTACTTCAAAACCTTTCGGTTGTAGAAATTGATCTTGCCAAACGCGACTTAAACAATATGAT